CAGTTGAAAGTGGTTGTCGTCAGTCTCGGCCGATGTCGCTCCCCTCTGTCCTCCTCAGTTCAGCCATGCCGATCCTGTCGATCTGCGCCAGTTACGTTCCGTTTGGTTGTTTCCACTCTCCTCTCGCTTGTTGCGCGACATTTGCTGCTGCCGCCAAGGAAGCCGAAGACGAGAACTTTTCATCTGCTGGTACCTTGAGGAAACGACCACTCCGACATCGTCTGGATATAGAGACGTTTATTCGTTTCTTTCTTTCTCCCCCCTTCACTGTCCCTGTACCCCTGGTTTTATCCCCTGTCTCCCCATTCAACCACTCTTACAGTCCAATCGTAACGCACCACTCTTACAGTCCAATCGGAACGCACAGATGTGTCTCTCCTCGCCACAACCTCGAAGACCCACCGCCTCTTGCCCACTCATCGGTTCTCCGCCGTCGCTCAGGTTTCTTTCACACCGGTTCCCGGAATGGTCGACGACGGGCGTTGCCAGGTCGTGGAAAAGCGCCTCCGAGTAAGTTCCCGCATGGCCGGACTCGACGCTCCTTCCCGGCGCTCCCCTTACGGCCTTCGCATTGGGGTGTTTTGCTGCCTGCCGCCGCAAGTTCGGGGTGGCGCTGCTAGAGCACTGTTGCTCCGCCACCTCCAAGCGCGTTCACGGGCGTAGTGTGCGCGCCACAGCACTATGGCCATCATAACAGCGCTGAGTACGAGGAACAGAACCAACTGCGGCGCCTAAATTCTTGAAGATGAACGTTTTATCCACACAATACAGCTCGGTCGTTGCATGTGATGAGGTTAAAATGGTATAGTCGACCTCTGAGAGCACCGCTTACCCAGTCGCAACCATTCCGGCAGCTTTCCCGGATTTTCGCACACGCGTGTTGTCACAAGCAACAGTAATCTATTACAGCGCACAAAATTCAGAGAGAAAAAGCAATATTTATTTTGTCGTAAGGTGGACTAGAACCTCCCGTAGGTAGACGGCGATGACTCCACTTTCCGTTTCGTCGGCTGTCGAGGAGCCGAGGTGGCGGAGGGGCCACGCGCTGCAGGTTCTTTACGCGGCCTCTTCGTAGCCGGGACCATATACGAAGGATACTGATCGAAGACCGTGGGCACGGCTCCTGGACGCAGTTTCCGGATACGATATTTGGGAACATAGTAATTTTCCGTGAAGTGTTTGCTGCACACTACAGTCGATGCGGACTTGTCATTGATGACGAGGTTTTCACGTGAAACATTTTTCCTCCACTTCGAACACAGTTCCTCATCGCTAGGAAATTGGTGGTACGACACACCCGGTGTCTTCCGTTGCTGTGACTTACACAGCGGCACGCAACAATAAACCATGGCTACGCTAGTGCAGTTAGCGTGCCTGAGCGTGTCTGATGCATTGTTTACCTGAGGTCATCGAACGCAGTCAAGAAAAGTCGCAGTCGGCGACGCGGGGAGCCGGCGGAGCTTACAGTGAGGTGGTGCTGCCCTCTACGCGTCAGAAAAAAATATATGCGCGGTGCCGGTATTGAGAAGGCCGTAAGGAGCGTGCGGAAGAAGCGTCGAGTCCGGCCGTGGTTCCCGCGATGCCGGGTTGACAGGCCATCAATACAATTGGCCCGTGCGCCAATGCCGTCGCCTCCGCTGATTCTGATTGTCCGGCGGACGCGTACGTGTACCTTCCACGTGTACCTTCCACGTGTACCTTCCACGTGTACCGGCCACCTGCAGCCTGGCTTGGTCTCCTGTAAGGCGCCATAATTGAGCCCGACAGCGGCACGGGAGTTGTCGCGTCCTTTGTGGCCAGCAGACAGTCATCGTCCCGCATTCCGGTGGCCCTGCTTCCTTGTTGGCGAGGGGTCGCCGGCCGCGGGGTGGGTAACATAAGGTATTCGGGGAACGCATGAAGTTCGAGCCCAACATTGGCCTAACTATTTCAGTGTTTGGCTCGGGAAGTGAAAGCGCTTGCCTTATTTCTTGGCGAAAAACTTCTGTGACCGACGCAATCGCGCAGTCATTTGGTGTGGCGGCGAGCTTCTTCACCTCTTCTTGCACAATTTCGCGTATCAGGTCACGCAAAGAACGCTCGTCAGGTGTCACAGTGGTCACGGCGGTCGCGCTGATTTGTCCGCTGTTGTTTGGACGGTCGTACTGGCGGTACCGTAGCTGTAGTGCGCGTTCGATGGTGGTCGCCTCCTTCGAAAATTCGTCGACGCTTGAAGGTGAGTTCCGTACGAGACCAGCAAACAGCTGCTCTTTAACACCACGCATGAGGTGGCTGATCTTTCTGTTCTCGGACATATCGGGATCGGTTCGATGAAAGAGACGAGCCATGTACTCAACAAACATAGCAACAGACTCATTGGGCTTTTGAATCCGTGATTCAAGGAGTCATTGTGTATGCTCCCGCCTTTCGGTGTTTGCGAAGGTGTCCAGGAACTTCCGCCGGAACTCGTCCCACGTTGACCACACGCGATTCGTGAACCACGTGCGAGCCCCGTCTTGAAGGGAGAAATACAACAGCGCTGGGTAATGGGGACGGCAGTATGCTCTCCCATAGTAGAGTACGATGTACTCTAAATCGTTAAACACTTTTTCTGAGCACACAATACAGGTACCCCAACTTCTGTGCGGCGTTCCACCCGTTAACGTTGGCTGTGCGCTCGAACTCTTCAAGCCAGTCATCTGCGTCCTCATATGTGTTGCCATGGAAGTCCACAGGAGTTTTAAGGGTCAAAACTGTCACCTGTGTCGTGCTTGGGCTCGTCATGGTGGGGCAACTGCTTCCCGGCGCGGTCATGTTTTCCGTCCAAGGACCGAACTCTGGGCTCAGGCCTAACAGGCGGCGGCTGACGCGGTGAACGGGTGTTTCGACGAGTGGAAGTCTTTGTGGACTAGATCCTGGGCTGTTGGAAGGTGTCCTGGACATGTACCCAGCTCCTCCACCAGTGTCACGACGCAGACACAGCAGGAGTCCGATATAGAAGAGCTCACTTTAATTAAAAATGAAAGGCACTCGTAAAGAGGACCGGGCAGAAGCTTCGTCTTCCTCTCTGGCTGTGCGAGCTCTCCTCTGCAGGTTGAATGCGGCAATATGTACAAATGTTGCACGCACAGATATATGAAGAAGTTCAGATGTTTATATAACCAGTTTGCACTTGCGCAATGATGCCAACTGGAACATGCATATTAGCGACACCAGAAGCTGAGATGAAGCGCTGATGCTCGGGAAAATGCTGGCCCTGGAAACTGCTACATCAACAACTTCAGCGCATGGCAACTAAGCACAATTGACGTTAACCCGACGTGACAGCTATGTCAAATTAGTACATATGTAATGTTTATAAAATTGTGTAGGCAGCACTGCAACCACTGTTGACGTTTCAGAAAGATTAGCGTATATATGAAAAATAGTTCGAAGACCTGGCGTAGCTGCGTGGTAAAATGTTTCATTGTCACACAGAATGCCTAGGTTCGATTCCATCTGGGACTCTCACATTTTTTCTTTGCATTCGTCGGGTCCACGCTACCGATTTTTTTGGATTTATTAACGCTCGAGCGTTATAATTGCCTATGTGTGTTCTCATCGATCCTAGGTAGATACTAAGTGTCAATCACCTGTGGCACATACCCGCATACCAGCAGCACAAACCCGCCCGTGGGTATGTGTCACTGTTTGGCGAGAAGTGTCTGATGACGTACGTGACGGGATTGTGACATTATTCATGTCTTGAGCAGTGCATCGTACTTGTCAAAACATCTTACCCTTCCATGCTAATTCTGGTTCACGCCATGTTAACGGGGTGACCATGAGAGCACCCAATCGTAAGCGGCTAGATATATAGATAGATACGCTCGAAGTCGCCGAAGTTCACTAAAAAATGCTTCGCATTTAAAAAAATACCGCATATCCACGGAGTGAATGATGATGAATGGGGTGAAGCTCCGGAGGATTTTTATCGGCGAACCTTGAATCGTCCGTTCTTCTGTCTGGCAGTTTGTTTAAAAAGTCTTCTGCAGAAAATTGTCTCGCTGAATGATGATTGCGTGCAGTTTATTAGAAGTCATATATGAACGAGTCATTTTTGTGCAGTTGCCTTTGTGTAATTTTTGAGCTTTAAAACTTATTATGCCACGCTACTGTTATTGTGCTTAAAGTTAGGGAGCCCAATACATAACCCGCGGTGAGCGTATATCGCTCCTTGTTGTGAAAACTAGGTCTCGGTCTTTTCTTTTTTCATTTCAGAGAATTTTACGGCCGCGGTTATCCACTTGGCTTCTATTGTAACAATGGTTCATAGCTTTGGCTCCTGAGCAAAGCAGTTTGACTGAAATGCAGGTCGAATAAAATTGTCATGTTAATCTCTTTGGGTGGATCACTTGAGGAGATGGTTAAATTGTTGTTGAGCCTCTAACGACAGCATTCCTCATACACGGCTCCTGTGTTTCTGCCGCCACACAATAACTCCTTAAATCACATAGGTCTGTGTGCCGGCAAACCAGTGCAGTACGTGTGGAGAAAAAATGTGTCTCAATTTTGGTGTCTAGGTCTGTTCCGACGTGCGCGAAATAATTGGGATCTCATCCTGTTTACAGCGATTTATAGTAAATTTCGCCTGTCAGTGCAGCACTGGCACTTGGGACTTGTCATCGGAGAACAGCTGCGCATTCAGAATTAGAAATAAATCTTTGTTTTATTTTGTGTGATCTGGCACGATCGACATTATATCCATTGCTTGTGCCCGGAAACTGACGTGCACAAAGAGAGAGGAAGTTGTAGAAATCACGGGCACAAAGTACCTTTTTCTTTGTTCCTTATAAAATCAGTCAGACTCAAGGGCAAACTAAAATAGACTACAGAAAGCTCTGTACGACTTAAGTGCCCAAATCACTAATATAGTGCATCTAATAGCGTGCGGTCGTAAGGGATATCAAACCGTAGGTTCAGAAAACTGAAATTCAGACTTGGCCAGTCTGTCTTGCCTATTCTTGGACATCTAAATAGGCATGTCTGCCGCCGATTTCGCGCCCACAGTGAACAATGTGGTGGAGGACCATTCGAAAGAACTCTGGGAGCTGAGTCGTTTCTTGTTCGAGAACCCCGAGTTGGCATTGGAAGAAGTCTTGGCTCACGACAAACTGTGCGAGTTTCTCGAACGGAAAGGCTTTTCTGTACAGCGGCAGTACTGCTTGCAGACTGCCTTCAGGGCGGAATTCGACGCTCCAGCGGGATCAAATGGTGAGTTCAGATTAACGGATTTAATCACTGTGTGATTGAATGACACATAAATAGGAGATGTTAGTTTTGTTTTGCCTCATGTCCATTCACGTCCAAGAAAAACCAGTGAAAGAACTGGAGTCACAAAGAGAACCGGAAGAATGCAATCAGCGTTTGTGTGACGAGCTTTCTCCCGAGTTTTGTTCTTGCACTGTATTTAATGTTTCAAAGTAACTGCTCTCCCATAGCTGAGTACAACGTACTCGAAATCGTTAAACACTTTTTCCAAGCACACATCAAGCCTTATATTCTTGGGACGGCATTCAGCTCTCCCATAGTAGAGTACTAAGCACTCTAAATTGTTAACCACTTTTCTAAACACACAAGTCCCATGCACCTCTTTAAAAAAATGGCAGCATATCCACGGAGTGAATGATGGAGAGTGGGGCGAAGAATTCGTCCGTCCATTCGTTCTTGCTTCCGTCCGTCCATGCGTCCGTCAGCGTGACCGTCCATGCGTCCATCAGCCCGTCCGTCCGTGCGTGCGTCTGTTCGTGCGTCCGTCCCTGCGTTCGTCCATGCAGCCGCCCCTGCGTCCGTTCATGCGTCCATCCATGCATCTGTCTATGTGTCCGTTCGTCCATCTATTCAACACTCCAAGTACCACCATCTCGCATCTTTTCATCATATATTCCCCATATAGAAGCACCGCCATCCAGCGGACATTCCAAGGACTAAACGAGAGGTGGCACACGTACACCTTCTTACGGCTTGCGCTTCGGGTCCACTTCCCACCTTTAACCACCTCGAGTTCATGGTATATACTCGTTCACTGTATTCATGGCACTGCGACCGAACGCTCGCTAAACCTTTCGAAAACCAAGGAGGTTACGCCCAGCGAGTATGACGTAGCAAACTTTTTCAGTAAGATAGTGCTCAATGTACATGCCAATGGCTGCTAATGGGAAATGAGAGGCGGAGAATTCGGCTTTTACTTTCTTACCACTTGCGCTTCGTATCTACTTCCCATTTTTAACCACCTCGAGTTCATTCATGGTATATACAAGTTCATTGTATTCATGGCACTGCGGCTCAACGCTCGCTAAACTTTTCTAAAGCTAAGGAGGTTACACCCAGCGAGTATAACGTAGCAACCCTTTCTTGTCAGATAGTGCTCAATGTACATGCCAATGGCTGCTAATGGTGATCGCAGCCTGCGCGTTAACTAAAAGCCGAATGCTCCTGTCTCTCATTCCCCATTAACAGCCATTTACATGTACATTGAGCACTATTTTTATTGTTCAACAACGCACAGAAGAAGTCTCTCACCGGCACCACCTTGGAGGTCAAAATGTTATACTTGTTACATACTACGGGGGACGAACGGGTGCCGCTATAAGGAGTTTCGCCCCTAAAACGTTCTCCCTTTGTGTTTCAAAGCATTCTGCCGGGAATGAAACCGCTACCTTCGAGTCAGCCGCTGAGCACCATACCTAACCACTCTTCCTCCGTGACGCGCCTAACATAACGGTTCCGTAAACTTTCGCATTGAGCAAATATCTGCTACTGAGCGTGAAAGGGGCCCCACAACCCTTTTTCGTCGTGGTCAGCAGACGCTGCCCATCGGTAGCCAGAGCTCCCGCGTTCACGCGAGCCAACTATTAGAGCGTGAAATGCGGCCTGGAATGAGTTCTGAAATCCAGCTAGAAAATTGCTTTCTCTTGTGTCGAGAAATGACCATACAAGCTCAAACATCCCTCTTAACCGCCAGTTTATCCGCAATTGGTGAATTAGCGCATGGCACACTAGGTCATTGCTGCGGGGCCGCCATGGGAGGTCGCGACTTGTCCACGCATACACGCGCGATCACACTGAAAATTAGCGTGTTTGAAAACAAGCAAGTATATATATATATATATATATATATATATATATATATATATATATATATATATATATATATATATATATATATATCATCAGCCTGCTCACGACCACTGCAGGGCATAGGCCTCTCGCGTGATCTGTGTCAAGCAACAAGCAACCCAGTCTTGTGCATTTTGCTGTCATGTAATATTTGTCAACGGGTTAATCCCATCGGTCCACCTAAGTTTCTGTCTCCCCTTCATGTGTTTGCTTCTCTGATAATCCGATCAGTTACCCTTAATGACCAGCGGCTATCCTGCCCACGTGCTACGTCACCGGCCTACCCCTGTCCAGTTCCAGTTCTTCTTTATTTCAACGCCTGCTTTGTCATATATATATATATATATATATATATAGGCAGGCATGGTGGTTGAGTGGCCGTAGCGTTGCATATAGTTAAGTAGATCCTCCGTGAGCGGTCCCAACGTGGTTTATTTCGACGTTTCGGCCTAGAGTCTGGCCTTCATCAGGATTTCTGATGAAGGCCAGACTCTAGGCCGAAACGTCGAAATAAACCACGTTGTAACCACTCATGGAGGATCTACTTGACTATATATATATATATATATATATATATATATATATATATATATAGAGAGAGAGAGAGAGAGAGAGAGAGAGAGAGAAAGTGCTCAAGTTCACCAGTCATGCATGGATTAGGTTTTTTTTTTTCTCGTGCTATCTCTTACTCCTTAGCTTCCAGTGCTTTCCTGGACGAGAGAAGAGAGAATGCAATTGGAGCGTGTGAGAAATTTTTGTAACTCCGCTCTTACTGCACATATTCTAAAGCTTTTTGCAGCGGTCTATTTGTGTGGCAATATTTTAATTGAATTAACCCATTCTATGGCTACTATAAAGTGTTGCATGGCTCCTTGAAGTGAAGTGTGTAGGCAAACGAGGTGAGGTGAATGAAAGAAAAATACGACCGCATACAAAGATATGGTTGCTTCTTGAACGTCTTCAAACAAACCCATCTATCTCAAGTACGACCAGTTGAACTGTTCTCACAGAGATCCAAAACTAATCAGCTAAGCTTCGTGCGGCTCGCAGAGCTGAGTTTCAGCAATGCCACAATGTATTGTATTCATATGCAAGCACAGAATCAGGAAAACGAAGCAACGAGTTATAGCCGCTTTTTTACGAAAAGCAAATTATTCAGCGCTGCTACTATAATACGAAAAATATAGAAATGGCACGAATACTTGATGCCATTCGGTAGGTCCCCACGGGAAAGTTTTTACTACACGGTGGTCATGGCACGTGCATATAGATTCAATTGAACGAGCACCTTTGCGTTTTCTTGGCATAAGCATATATGCTGCACCTGTATCTGTAGCATCATGCGAGAGCCAGAGAGTTCTCAGTGTTAGATTATATGGGCATTGCGTCATCTCTGTTTCTGGAAGAAGACCGTTCAATCTAAGCGAGACACCTCTTTCTTTAAAAAAAGTAGATATCCGCTTGCACATATATTGGCATTGTACCGAGCGCCCCCTTTTTGTAATCTCAATTGATAGAATACCCTTCGCAGCTTCGACAATCGTCTAATTTTGCGACGCATGGGAAGCAGCGCATCTTGTTGGGCCTGTGGCTCTTTCTTTAGGTAACCGGGAAAGATGCACACTATGTCCATCATTCCGGCAATCATTCTTGATCAGGCTTCTTTAAAGGGGTCGTGAAACGGTCGCTTTACAACGGCAATGCGGCACCATCGGCAGCCGCATGCACTAATTGTATCATCAGCCCGAGTGGACCTGCATAGAAGCTTTGCCTATCGAGGAACGCGGAACTTTATGGCATATCGAGCACGCTCAAGAGGTGCTCAGCGGCGTCTGCCATGCGCGATCCGCGTCCCACAAGGACGTTGCTTAATATGACGTCACAGTTCAAGTTAGCGCTGATTGTGTATGACTAAGACGCTGACGAGTGTCCCAGATGCACGCACGCAAGTACCAAGAAGTTCCTCGTTCCTCAATAGGCGAAGAAATACTTATGATGACGTCACCTAGTTAGTGCGTGTGGATGCCGGTGTGTTCGCATTGTCGCTTTAGAGCGAGCGCTTCACGACCCCTTTAAGGGGTACTCTTTAGGTATACTTCTTTATGCAGTAAAGTGGAAGCCGGACATGATTCAGGAAAGAGGATGTGGAAGCAGTAGGGAATTGAGAGACCGATACATTAAACAGCAAATGAATGGAGCTATGTCACGCAGCTACTGTGTAATGTTGGAGACCTCTTTCCGTGAGTGATACCTGTGAGTTCTTGATTGACAGCAGCAGAAAACACGTTCGTGTCGAAAAAATAAATTTGCACCAGAACTCGTTTGAGGGCAGGTTCATACCAATTACGGTTTTGAATATATATTCAACGAAAAACGCTTGTGTTTTCTGACTAATACACTGCAACAAGACCCTCCCATTTGCCGAAGCCTCAAAGTCTAATCGCTTTCTCGTGAACAGATTAATTTCTTCCAAGTCGAATCATCTGACTATTCGCATATCTGCTGCGTTTCAAATGTTTTTACAGGGCCGTGCGTAGCTCTGCTCTGCGAGTACGACGCGCTCCCAGAAATTGGTCACGGCTGCGGGCACAACCTCATCGCCGAGGCGTCAGTCGGCGCCGCTCTCGCCGTGCAGGAGGTGATGCAGACATCCGAGGACTTTCGTGGAAAGGTAGATTTCCACTAATACACATCATGTGGACCATAGTCACCGCATTACGACTATCACCCATAGTGACCAGTTACGGCAGTGCTAATGCTAGCAGGATTAGCAGGGCGTGCTTTAAAGGGTATTTCCTGCCGACTGGTTTATTTATTTATGCAATATTTTCATAGGCCCCACCGCGGTGGTCTAGTGGCTAAGGTACTCCGCTGCTGACCCGCAGGTCGCGGGCTCGAATCCCAGTTGCGGTGGCTGCATTTCCGATAGAGGCGGAAATGGTGTACGCCCGTGTGCTCAGATTTGGGGGCACCTTAAAAAACCCCAGGTGGTCAAAATTTCTGTAGCCCTCGACTACGGCGTCTCTCATAATCATATGGTGGTTTTGGGACGTTAAACCCCACATATCATCATCAATATTTTCATAGGCTTCTTCCAGTGGCATTCTTTGATGCTCTACGATGTCAATTTGTGTCTCACTGAAGTAGGCAACAATTCAAGTTCGACAAGTTGACATATAATAATAGAATAAAAACAAAGGTGTAAAACAATTATTTAACACGGCCACTATTATTTCGAATGGAAAAATAATGTTATTTTTCATTACAGTTCTACCCAGTGATTGGGGTGTGTATCGATCTCACTGGTTGTGGCCGCGCCTATTAGAGATCGGCCGTGAAACGCCGTTGCCAGGCGACCCCTTGTTCATTTTCCCAGAGAGTTTCGTGTGCCGTCGCTGTAATCAAAACAAACTTTAGCAGTGAGTTTTCCGATGCTGGTACGTAGTTTAGTGCAAAAAAAAGAGCAATATTAATACGCTTGGTGTGCGCAACGCATGGCCCGCGAGCAACACGCGCTCCGCCAGGCAGTGTTATGTGGTTCCTGGCCCGGCGCCAGAACACCTCTCCTCTCCTAGTCACGTCCTGAAGGCCAACATGGCATTTTCGACCTCAAATTGGGTGTGAACTTGTAACCTATGTTTGTACAACGGAACACTGTCACATGCGTGCAGAAAATAAGTGGGATATCTTTTCCACGTTTCTAGAGTATACGTCTTTTTTTCTTTCTCTTTAAGCACCTACCTGCCCAATTCTACGCAATTTGCCTCTGCTTCCCACTGAGTAGACTTCGTATAAACTGGCCCTCCGTCTAAAGTTCTTGCTGAACCCTAATCTACCCCGACGGGCACTCGGTAATAATCTACTTGAACTGCTTCTATGCGGAGATTCTTCTATGCAGCTGTACGTTTTGTTATCACCTCTAAGCGAAGGTTGAAGATAATCAAATGTTTCATTTCTTCATGAATGCGAACGCCTTGGTTGCTTTCATCATCATCAGTCTGACTACGTCAACTGCAGGACAAGGCCTCTCCTATGTCCGCCAGTCATCCTGTGGTTGCTGCTGCCACTTTAAGCCCGCAAAGTTACTAATCTCATCTGCCCGCCCAACTTACTGTCTCCCCTTCGGGCGTCTGCCTTCTCTCAGAATCGAGTCAGTTACCCTTTATGACCAGAGGTTATCCTGCCTACGTGCTACGTGCCCGGCCCATGTTCATTTCTTCTTCTTGATTTCAGCTAAGATATCCTTAGCCCCAGTTTGTTCTCTGTCTCAGTCTTCTTGTCGCTTAAGGCTACACCTATCATTTTCCTTTCCATCGCTCGCTGCGTAGTCTTCAACTTAAGCTGAACCCTCCTTGTAAGCCTTCAGGTTTCTGCTCCGTAGATAAGTACCGTAGGCAAGATGCACCTGTTTATACCTTCATTTCGAAGGAGAGTGGCACTCTACAATTCATGATTTTAGAATGCTTGCTGAATGTGCTTCACCGCTATTTCGTACTTATTGTTAGTTGCTTTTTCATACGCAAAATTCAGCACCGGCGACAGCATGAGCGGCAATATGATGCCGTCATCCCCTCAATGAAAGGAAAAATATATAATATGATTATGACGTCACATGAAGTAATTGCATGGCATCGTCACTTGCACATATGGTGGTGGGTTGCGGAGGCATTTCAAAAGCAGGAGAGCTGCAACAAGCTTTCAACGTGTTCAAAAGTGGAGGCTGTTCAGACACTTTCGATATATACATCATTCTTGCCAGAGAAGCCCAATATATCCACAGCTAAATAGGAGGCTTTCACCTTCGAGTTGTCTTAGGTGAATGCGTGATGAACCCTGTGGTGTTTTGTGTACCTAGAATATTCCATGACTGGGTGTTAGCCAAAACTGTACAGTGAGACATTCTTGTTGTCTTAATTTCTGTTCATTTCCCGCCAACGATTCGTCTATTCTCTGTCCTCTTCGCAGCTGGTGGTCCTAGGCACTCCAGGCGAAGAGGGCAAAGCCGGCAAGCAGCTGCTCATTGACCATGGTGCGCTCGAGGGCATCGAAGTGGCCATAATGGCGCACCCGTCTCCCGCCGATATCGTAACGCCTCTTTTCTCAGCGTCGCAAGCGGTGAGCTTAAGCGTGCAATTAAGCCAAGTATATAGAAGCAGCATGTGATTTCGTTTTCCTCGCCGGAGATTCGACAGCGTGGTGTTTCATCTTAGGGTTGCCAAGCGGCGCGATTTCGTCTCGGGTGGAATGCAGCGCCACTTCTTATGAGTGGAAAGAAAAAAAGAGGCAAAAAAGTGTAGATTATTCATTGAGAACTTTAAACAGCTAGGAAAAGGCATCCATATGTAATACATTTTTTTCTCTATAACTGATGAGCGGCACCTACTATGTGCCGCTGGTATGCGGGTATGTGCCACAGGTGATTGACACTTAGTATCTACCAATGATCGACGAGAACACGCATGGGCAATGTTAACGCGCGAGCGTTAAGAAACACCCAACATTGGTACCGCCGACCCGACGAGTGCAATGAATAAATGTCACGGTCCCCGCAGCAAACGCACCTAAACATTCTGCCTGGCAATCAAGCATGTTACTACAGAACTACTACGCCTAGTCCAGATCTTTTTTTTAAATAGACCCTAATTTTCGTGAAACGTGAATAGCGGTTGCAGTGCTGCCTACCCAATTTTATAAACATTACATATGCACTCCGTTGGTACAGCCGTCTCGTCGGGTTAACGTCAATTGTGGTTAGTTGCCGTGCGCTGAAGTTGACTCATGTAGTAGTGTCCAGGGCCAGCATCTTCGCGAGCATTAGCATTTAATATCAGCTTATCGTGTCACTAATACGCATTTTCCAGTTGGCATCGTTGCGTAAGTGCAAACAACTGGTTATATAAACATCTGCAACTCTTGAACATATGTCATGGCGTGCAACATTTGCACATTTATATAGCCTCATTTCTTGACGTGTCACCCAATACGAAAATTCCAACACGGTCACCTCGCCTCCGCATGCTTCGCATAAAGTTGATTCCCAGGTACGTGGGATCTGTCGAATTTTTTGTTTCGAATTCTCTGCGCCGTAAATTTCCCCTCTAAATCGCCCATACAATTCGGGCCCTTCAATCAAAACGCTTGGTAGTATGCATTTAAGCACGGTCAGATCGTGCCTACATGAGTGCTGTAGCGAAACATGGGACAGAGCGTAATGATGTTCACAACTGCTTGCTTCCATGTGCACTGCACGTCTGTTCATATATAGAACACTGGCTGGCCCAAGATGTACCCTTTTGAACAGTAAACAACTCGTGCAGTGTTGATCTAACCATAGATGACGTTCACCCCCTTGCAGCTTGAAGTGCGTTTCAAGGGCAAGCCTGCCCACGCGGCAGCCTACCCATGGGAAGGTGTGAACGCCCTGGATGCTGCAATATCGTCTTTCGTCAATATCGGTCTTCTCCGTCAGCAGTGCAAGCCCTCATCGTGGATTCATGGTATGAGTTCTGGTGTTATTTCGTTCAGCGCAACTGGGATATTACATGCCGGTGTCGTTTTCCTTTTTATAGTTCTTACGACTGTTTTTTTTTTAATTTTCATTTAAGCGCGAAGCTCTTCAAGGCGTGGGTCTGTCCATCCTCTGATGTATGTAGTAGTAGTACTAGTAGTAGTAGGTAGCTACCAATGACACATACCCGCTCTAGAGTGGATATGTACCACAGGGGATGCGAGATGGGAGATGGCGGTACTTGGAGTGTTCACTAGATGAACGCACGGACGAATGAACAGACAAACTAGCAGACGGACGAATGGATGGACAAACGCGCGAACGTACGGACGAATGGACGCACGAACGGATGGACAAACTTACGGACGGACGCACAGACAGACGGATGGACGGACGCATGAATGGACGCACGGATGGTCGCGCGGACGGACGGAAGCAAGAACGAATGAACGGACGGAAGCATGGACGGGCTGACGGACGCTTCACCCCACTCATCATTATTCACTCCTTGGAAATGCTGTGATTTTGTGCTGTAGAATATTGCTACCGTCGACGAAAAAAAACCAAGGACGCTGCACCAACACTTTTAGCTGAAAGCGATACTTTCATGGAGCCGGGTAATAGTGTTTACCACTTTCGCCCGCAAACGAAGCACTAAAATAGAAAAACCCAATTTAGTTTTTGTTGTGCACGACTCACAACGCAGGCGTGATGAAGAGTGTACGAACAGGATAGCAGGCGTTGCACCGCAGTGGTTCGTGAGATAGTACTGTTGCTAATAAATTACCAGCTAAAGAAGTGATCACGTAAATCTAGCGTAGAGTGCCGTGTAACGTAAACATATTCTACCAGAATTCTCGTAGTCTGCATACGAAGACAAACGAGTTTTTCGCTAACGTCCTTTCTTCGTTTCTTATAGTTGCTATTTCTGAAACTTGGTTGGGCCTTGAAATCTGTTATCCACTTTTTACCACAAACTTCACCGCCTTCCACAGTGACCGAGATTTTGAAAGCAACGAAACAGAAATGTGGTGGCCTGCTGGTTGCCATTGAAAGTTCACTGAAATCCATTGAACAAACACACCGGGGAGCTTTGGGAAAATCGGTCTGGTTAGAAATCAGCCTTGAGCGCCAGGAAATATTGTCGAATGAGTGTTTCTGTTTACCGCCAAGCTTTTCTCGTGCCGTGTTTCATGATGTCATCTTTTTCATTGAACATGTGACACCGTCTCTTGGTGGACACAAAACTATTATTCTTGGTGACTTCAATGCTCCTGAAATTGACTGGAGCACGCTTACATTTTCTTATTATAAACACTTCATTGAGAAAAAGTACAGCCTGCTCTCGTGTCTTGGGCGTTCAGTTCCCTACTGCAACATAACACAGCTGTGAGTGGCAGAGACCATGTGTTGGACTTCTGTCTGTCAAACGATCAACCCGTTGAAGTTGCGCGCTCCGGCATTTCACTTGTTCGACCTGACAAATTCCACCCGCCACTTAATACTAGATTATCTCTATGTACCGAAACAACGAGCTACAGTATAGTCATTTTAACCTATCTCCAAGATTGGCTTTCAATAGAGGTGTTTACAGGGGCTTTTATCACTACTTGTAAGCAGTTACTGACAAACCAAATGTTGATGAACAAATTAAGCAGTTTGCAGAGCTTGTGTTAAGTAGCATGCGTAAGTTTCTCTTGCCATATAAACCTGTCCTCACTGGTTTTCCCCTAAATTTATAAGTGCACTGAAGCGCAAAGATCGCGCACATGAGAAGGCCAAATGTTATCCATCAAGCAAGTGGAAGGAAGAGTTCAGGTTTTTTCTCAACTTTCCCCAAATTCCTATATAAATAGGACCACTCCCAAATACCTATATAAACAGGACCACAGTTCATATATTGCATTATTAAAAAAAAGGTTTCTGTCAGACCAGCTGAGCTTTGGAAGTATGTACGCAAATGGTCAAGCAAAAGGGGGGAGCCCTTCAAGCTACTGTACTATGACGGCGTCAAAGTGAATGTTGTTGCCGACTGTTCCACCACTAATTTTTATGCGTCCATAAGGCCTCAGAATCAAGGACACAGATAAGGCAGCAGTAAAAGGCAATTAGCACATGTAGTGGTCTGTCTCAGGAGGAAATGCTCATTTGCCTGTGCATTAGACGCCTTAAACAGTCCTTATCCTGTGCCCAGGTGGTATGTCTTTCGCCAACTGGGTCATATACTACTTATGGTAGCATATTTGCCTCAGTACTGATTGCAGTATTTAATAGCTGTCTGAACGCCTCCATATTTCGCAGTTGTGGAAACCAGTACGTGTTTTTTTTATTACTTAACGGACTGCAAAACTGATGTCTCTAATCATCACTCGATTTCTCTATACTGCGTGCCACATCGAAAATCTTTGAACTAGCTCTTCACAACATATTGTATGTTAGCGTAAAAAACACATGGATTCAGGATCAACATGGCGTCCTCTTTGGCCGTTCAACGGCCACAAATCTTGCTAGTTTCATGACGCAAATAGCCCCACCTATTTCTCAGAGAGGACAGGTTGACGTAGCCTACTGTGACCTGAGCAAGGATTTTGACGTAGTCAGCCACTCACTGTTTTTAGTGAAACTTGTCAACTTTGATATTGACTCGTCTGTTGTGAATCTGCTTCCCATTTGATGCTGACGCGTCGGTCGTGGGTCAGCAGCCCATTTTCAATAGAGGCGAAAATGCTTGAGGCCCAGGTGCCTATCGATTTATGTGCACGTTAATGAATCCCGGGTGGGCGAAATTTCCGAAGCCCCCCACTACGGCATCTGTCATAGCCCTAACGTGGTTTGAGACGTTTCATCCCCAACAATTATTATATTAGAAGAGGCGCGCTTGGCCGTTTCGATGCCGTTTGTAGCCATGAGTCTTGCGTAGAAGTCCGTACACCGGACAGGTATGCTGCCTAGCGCGAAGCTGGACGTGCTGCAACGAAATTAGCGGAGAAGATTGGACCCATGTCACTTTCACAAAAACAAAGCGGCTGATATGAAGACAAATCGATGTTCCATCCAATAGCCATCTAAGCTGAAGAATTGAAAAATAGCCATACCTTATGAAACTAAGATTGAAACTAGACTATAGGGTATAAGTAACCTTGCATTATCCAATAATACCACCTACTTGTATCGACCAGCCTAACTGTTATGAGCGTGTTACAACAGGGAGTGCTCGGAACAAGTTTCGAAAACCAGAGTCAAATCAGGGTGTAGCCGCTTGTGGCGCTGCGAACTTTATCCTGCAATTCGTAGTCTTGACAGCTGTGTCTATTTCTCACCAAGTATTAACGCGATACGATTCGAACTCGGGTTTAAGTCGCAGCTGTATACAAACTGCCGTGTTTCTCTCCTGTTCACGAGGGTTCGATGATGTGGATAAAATAGACGAGGGTTATAGAAACGTAGCAGGGTAATTAAAACAGAAAGAGAAGTAGGCACTGCTGAGTTACACTACGTAGTATCTGTATCCAATAACATTACTCTGAAGTAGAGGGTTCTCTGGCTGCTAGCACTTTCTTTTTCATCTTTGTTCACGCAGGGGTCATCACAGAAGGTGGAAGGTACCCGAACGTCATTCCAGAGAAAACAGAGCTTCAATTCTGTGTGCGCTCCGATTCTAACGCGGAACTGCTGCTTCTCCGTGACCGAGTGGAAGCCTGCTTCAAGGGCGCAGCCGAGGCCACAGGCTGCTCGGTAGGCATTCGCAGGGAGCCCTTTTACATGGACGTCATCCAGAACGCCGCAGTCGCCGCGTGCTACCGAAAGCACGGCCACTCTCACGGTAAGGTAAAGCGAAATCAACATGGAAAATGCGTGCGAAAAATTATTATGAGCGCGTGCACCTTGTAAAAAGTGCCTAACAATAACAGCCTGTAGCGGGTGAACACTTCAACGTTGAATAATTTCAAGATACATTCCTTGCATTATTAGTGGAACCCACGTTGATGGTGATCAATTACGCAAGCTAGGCGTTCACTTAAAACAAAATTCGCCAGGTTAATCGCCCTTAGAAATTACATTTTGCATTATTAGTATACAACTCCCCATGCATGTTGCGGAACCTGAAAAGCTTGAAGAAAAATAATCTCAAGATTAGTGTACATCTAATTGTGATAAGCATTTAGGCTGCAGATCACCTCAGTAACCATTCATCTCCAAGTTGGATAACATCCGTCTATAAACGCTACATGTAAAGACCTGCGACTTAGCGGTGTTTTTTTTTTGTTGTTGTTGTTGAACTTCCTTCTGTACCCCATGCGCCACTTGACGGCATCGTCGAGAAGTACACGGCGGACAAATGCCCGTAAAGGTACTGGGTTATTTTCTACATTGAAGCTGTAAATGTTACGCAACCTTAGTTTTTCGGTGTCCGTCCGTGTCCAAAAGCTCTCAGCGCCTCCAAAGGCACCGAGGTTTACCTTCCAGGCATTTTTGAAGCGTTCAAGCAGAATTCCCAACACACTTTATGGAGAGGGAGAGCTAAATATTGCAATAAAGTGAGAAAATGATGTGTCGCTACGCCTTTCCCTGTTCGACATCGCTGTTGTACCGTAAGCAAAGACTTGAACTATTTGAAAGTATTTCTTTGGGAAAAGAAAACGTTAAAATTATAAGCATATGAGTCAGCACAAGGAGGGCAGAGGGAGTGGTCGCCCCCTCCCTTCCTAGTCACCTAAGAGGAGAGGCGCAAAATCTGATCCATACATTCACTTAATATGAAGGGGGGGGGGGGCACAGCGATGAACCTATAGGCCCCCCCCCCTCCGAACGAGAACCCTGTGCATGCCTATGCTTATAAGCCAACAGCAGTCACTGAACCAGGAGGGTTTGAAGGAAATAACAGACTACCTATTTCACCATTATTACCTGCTGTTTCTATTTTACGCCTTGCATTCATTCATTTCTTTTTCTATCTAACTTTTTCTATCTAACGGCATAAATTGCTCAAGCAAACATACTGCTGAGAAGTCAAGTGACTGGTCTTTATCAGAGGACATAACCAGAGCTATAATGCAGCGTCATATACGCGCATGGAAGATTCAGAGAAACAAGAAGGAAACGTGAGCACGAATCTAAAACATCAGTGTAACGTCATATACTTTAACCGCTAACCGTGCAACCTACCACAATGTAGTGCACGGAGCGCCGTTTCAAGGCCCACGGGACAGCTTTATGCCTTTCCATAGTAGAGTACCAAGTACTCTCAATCATTAACCATTTTTTCTAAACACATATACGGGTATTTTGGCTGACGAGAAAGGAAACTAGAAAGGCATAAAAATTCACAGTTATGGCTCTAGTTCGAAGCAGCGTATGAGACAGCAACAAATTGGGATGGTACGTATTCTGCCTCCAACAATACCTATTTTTTGCGCACTAGAAAGGTAGTTGAAAAACGATACGATCAGAGTTGCATGTTTCCGCATTGAATGCTTACGTGTCAGAATCAGTGGTTCCTAAAGGTCTCATGATTGTGCATCATCCAGCCGTTAAATTGTCGCCCACTCACCAAGCAAAATGGGACGATGCACTAAAGAATGCGTCCTTGAATTTGACCCGTATCATCCTAAATCACTATGAACACTCAGCAAAATCTTTGTCGAACACTGTACGACAACTGCTTTCCCAATCAAGGTTATCATCAGAACAAGTAATACTTCTCGATGAGTATCGGCTTAAGAAACGAGATGAGATTGTCAAGATTAAGATGAGCAAACTTGCGCGTGATAATGTACCTATACCGGCCTCTCTGACGACTGTCGCGTCACGGGCTACGTCAAGAACTTCCTGTAGAACATCCGAGCATGATAACATAGTAAACCTTTCCAATCACTGTTTGTCAGATGACGAGAAGTCTGTATTATCACGTGGCCTCAATTTTTGCCCCGCTTCCGGTGGGTATAACGAATTTCAGTTCCTACAAGATTTAGACAACTTCGCCCGCAACATGAGGCTTCGAGAATTTTTCTATAATATGCCTACGTCGAGTAACTCTACTGCTCCTTTGTTTTCGAATAAGCGATGGACACCTCCAATTCAACGCGAGAAATGCCTAGATCTTTACATTGAAGCGGTCCAGCGAGATCTACTCGAAGCATATCAAAAACAACAACCATTTAAGAGCAACATTTCTATTAAGGAAAAGGAGGCAATAAAGAGCTTGGCTAACAATACCGACATTGTCATCAAGCAAGCAGACAAAGGAGGCGCCATTGTTCTTATGAATCGAGTTGACTATATTTCAGAGGCTTACAGACAGTTACGAAATGACACCTTCTACAGACGCTTGGAAATGGACCCCACTAACGATTTTAAATGTGTCATCAAAAAAGAATTAGAACAACTCGTGGCAGATAAAAAGTTAACAGTCAAGGACCTATCTTTCTTGCTCCCGCTAAGTCCTTCAGCAGGAAGGTTTTATCTACTACCCAAAATTCATAAGACAGGCAACCCCGGCAGACCAATAGTTTCGGCTATCGGTTCCGTAACTGAGAAGATTTCCAGTTTTGTTGACACCCTCATTAGCCATATTCCGCAAACTTACCCGTCCTACATCAAAGACTCAGGCCAATTCTTGAGCGACATTGCCGATTTAATTATTCCTGAAGGATCCCTCTTGGTTACTCTGGATGTTTGTTCCCTATATACAAACATTCCACACAAGGACGGAATCGAAGCTGTTCGTCAGGAATACGAGCGTTCGGCCTCCGACCATTCTATAGATGGCGCAACATTAGCAACATTATTGAAATTAATTCTTCAATACAATAACTTTGAATTCAACGATGACCATTTCGTACAAGTGAACGGGACTTCCATGGGGACTAAAATTGGCCCCAATTACGCTAATATCTTCATGGGTGTGCTGGAGAAAGAATTCTTGAGTAGTCAAACATTAACGCCACTTTTTATAAAAGGTACATTGACGACATCTTCCTGATTTGGGAACACGGGGAGCATGCATTACTTTCATTTATAACAGCGTTCAACAATGTTCACAGTTCCATATCATTCTCCCATTCATTCTCGGACAAGCGCGCAGATTTTCTTGACATTACTGTTTTTTTGCGGAACGGCAGACTAAGCACCACGCTTTCAAGAAGCCCACAGACAGGCACCAATATCTTCATTTTCACAGTAGTCATTTAAAGCACTGGAAGACCAGCATTCCATACAGTCAGGCACTCCGTTTCAAACGCGTTTGTACACATGAGTCTGATTATCACCAGAACTGCACTTCCCTGAGGGAATCTTTAGCTAAACAGAATTATCCTGTCCGTCTCGTAGAAGACGCTTTCAAAAGGCTGACCTCGTCGAACGCAAGACCTTATTAAAGGCACCGAAAAAGACTGCCACCTCACGCCTAACCAACCTGGTCCTCACTCATTCAGCTTCGGCTCCCAGAGTAAACTGTATTCTTCAAAAGCATCATAATATCCTCTTGCAAAGCCAACGTCTCCGAACAATCTTCCCGATTCCACCTAAAGTAATCTACAGACGCTCTAAAATTTACACGACTTAGTCACATCCTCTAAAGTTACTAAACCGCAATATTCGGGTTGCCATCCATGCAATAAATCACGCTGCAAAATTTGTGCACATATGACAACATCACTTTCAGCTAAGAGTACCGCCTCCGGTTTCAGTCTTAAAATAAAGGGTAACTTTTGCTGTTACACATCAACGTAATCTATCTTCTGGAGTGCTCTGTATGTGGTATGCAATACATTGGACAAACCGAGACCAGCTTTCGTCTACGTTTTAATAATCATAAAGCACACGCGATTTCCCTTCCTAACTTACCGTTATCGAAACACGTTGCGCTTCCAGGTCATTCCTTCAGCAAGATAAAGCTACAATTCTAGAGTCAGGCTTTAGCTCCCATCGTGACAGAGAAGTCCGGGAATCATATCTCATCCACAAATTCAGTACCATTGCTTTCGGTCTCAACGAAAATCCCGGCACCTTAACGTTCTTGCGCCAGTAATATGTCATGCGCATTGATCACCTTTTATTATTATATCCTTGAAAATTGTCCGTAACAGTGTAGGTGCTGTTTTTCACGTGTTAATCTTCTGTTATCGGTGTTTTTTTCGTCACCACATGAGCTGTCAATTGCTGTTGAATCTTCTTGTTACGCGAGTATGTTACTGACGAACAGTATGTTGATACATTTTGAACGCATTTTTTCCACGTGTATTGATTGTACCTATCTACAATCCATGTGACCAACTGGCATATAAGTGGTTACCATTGCTGTGTTTTGTTTCATTCTGACGAAGGCCGGGCCCACGGTCGAAACGTCAAGTAAAAATCTTTTCACTTGTGAGTCAAACTCCTTTTATTCTCCTATTATTCCCGGATCCGGCGACAAACGCTCCTCCAATGTCTCTTACTCTGGATTCCGGTCGACCCACAGTGAAAAGAATATCATGGATGTTTCCAAGATGCCAGGTTTCCACAATCGTGTTGGGTGATTCGCAGACCAAGTATTTGCATCAACATTTCGATCCCGTTGTTCCCGGCACACCTGCATTTGTTTCGTTGTGCGGTGCTCTCATTGATGACGTTCACAACTTGCTCGACTTCATCCCGGATACGGCACAGACTGTGATTATCCATGTCGGCACAAATGACCTTGCGTCCTCTTCAGGTCGCTTCGCCTTCAAAAAGTACTGCTCGCTACTAGAAGCGGTGATTGCACAGCACCCTAATGTCAGGCGCATTTACGTAAGCCTTATTCTTCCACGTTCCGAAAGTCGTCGAAGAAAGTTTAGGAAT